CGGAATCCGAGCTAGAGAACGATCCGGCTCCTCGTTGAGGAGCCCGTGAGGGTCTCCGTATCATGTTCAATCGCCCCTGAACTCGATGTCCGTGGGTGATCGAACCATCCGTAGCGCCTGGAAGGTGGCTAGCGGTTGCCTCGGCGTTCGGAGGCCGAACGGAAAGCAAACGCGTGGGGCTCCCATACGGGACCTTCGGACATAGGGTGACGTTGTGCGAGACCTCCCTTGGTGATCGGACTCCCGGGGAGTTGCCGGTGGGCCCTCAAGCCTAAGATGGTGAGGTTGATGGAAGGAAGAGATGGGGCGGCGAGAGTGAGTCGGCGCCAACTCTCCTTCTAGTGTGATGATGAAGTCTAGGTCGCCAAACACACGCGTGTGCGCCGGGACCCGTGATTGCGTGGGTGGCCATCCGAGGGCTGATTTGGAGCAACGCATGAGCCCCCTACTGGCGCGCATGGCTAACGCTGGTGTTTTTTATAAAGCACCGACAAGTAAATTTATAGTAATCTGCGCGTTAGGCTCGGATGGTGCGCCAAAGGACACAAGATTTATACTGGTTTGGGCCAAAAGTCCCTACGTCCAGTTTGTTGCTGCTCGTGTTATTAGCACCGTGAACGGTTTGCAGTAAGGGGTACAAACGATCGAGAGAGGGACTGGTCCCAAGTCTCTGATGGAAGGGTTGAAGGGATGTCAAGAGGTTCGACACAACTTGACTATGCGTATCTGAGAGTCGTCTCGTTCCATCTCCTCACTTATGGAGGAAGCGCATCCCCTTTTATAGATGAAGGGGCTGGCTTTACAAGGGTGAGGGCTTTAGGATGCGTACTCTACTTAGTCTTGTGGCTCACGTCTACCCGGCCTGGTTCTTCATTCTGATGAGTACGAGGGAAGATAAGCGCCTACAATACTGTCGACGTCCCTGTAGAATGTCAGGTTGGGTACATAATGCTACCATGCGCAGGGTATGGGTCGCAGTACAGTGGTTTTGACTTTTGAGCCTCCCCCAGCCTTGCTCCGCACGCCTTCTGGTTCCTATGAGTCTTCGTCGGAGGGACACGGGGTCGGGGTCTGGAGTAGCGCCGTGGCCAAGGTCTTCTATCTTGGTGGACCTGAGGGGTCGGGAAGCGAGCGCCGCTCCCTTGGGTCCACTGCGTGGTGACGGAATATCCGTCGTTCGTGGAGATAGCAAATCCTTTTCTGGAGCGTAGTGGTTGTCGTATATCTTCGTGGGTTTCGTGTCCCAGTGAGTGAAGGCGGCGCCTACAACTCTGAGGTGGAGAGAGCTCGCACTGTGACACCTTCGGGCTCTGCAAGGCGCTTGGAAGGGCCTAAAGAGCCCGTCCCATCATCCTCAGCAAGACTTTTCTGCCAGGTGCGAGTATATGGCTCTTGGAGCCACGGTTGACTGAACGTCATGTCTTGCCTGTCTCTATCATCTTGAAGGAAAAGGGAGAAGTGGTCAGGTAAGATGAATCCAATCTTTAGATATGGAGCAGAGTGAGGCTTGTTTCTTGCCGTCGGGCGAAGTGGAGATCAATCCCTATCTCTTGGGCGAGACCGACCCTGCTCCTCTAGGGTCGGGCGAGGCGGAGTCTATCCCTCAGCCCTCGGGCGAGACCGAGCCCGCCCTAAAGGCGTCGGGCGAGACGGAGACTAGCCCTGGGCCCTCGGGCGAGACCGAGCCCACCCCAAAGGCGTCGGGCGAGGTGGAACCAAGCTCCTATCATTCCCGTGAGGGGTGAAGCAATGCTCTTATGCGTCCAGAAGTTTTTAACGTTCGGTGGTTATTGGTTCCACCTTCTGGGGTACCCCGGTATTAGGTCCCCGACAACCTCCTGCCCTCCTGCGTGGTACATACGCCATCAGGGCCTCCGCGTCCTGCACGGCGGCAGAGGCCACAGCCGCATACTCTGATCCCTCTCCACGTATAAAAAAATTTAGTCTTTCTCCTGCAGGTGCTATGAACTGCCGCAAGAAGTCTGGGCACAGCAACGAGGTGAGAACCATCGGTTTTACTTGTTCATTCAATAATTTAATTTGTTAGATCATATATAGACTATATATGTCACTTTTCATGCTTATTGGTTTTAGTTGATGTTGATGCGCTGTCCATGTTTCTAGGTTTGTTTAGTCGTCTTATACAATACTTTGTTTCAGAGTTATTGTCAAGGTCATTGCATTGGCATTGCTGCTTTGAGTAGTCATTTCTTTCAGATTTTCTTGTCAGAATAATTGGATTATGGGTCATCAAGTGTACTTTTGCCCCTTCGTTTGTATATTCTTGATTTTAAGTGATCATAAATTTTTTTGCTTTTTCAGTCATAGTATCTATAACAAAATAGACTTTTAATTGATGATGAGTTTACTGCTCTGCATACTATATATGCGGTCATACTTCAATTACTGTTAGCACATTTGCTATTTAGTCATTCTTTCATCTAATCTGTGTCCTTTGATTTTTCAGTTGAGGTAAAAGAAAAGGTCATTGTCCAAGATTGGTGAAAAATGATCGCTGGAGAGCCTTGTCATGCATGACGCATCAGACGGAATTTCAAGTGTTTAATTAATGGATTTTACTTTAATTTATGCTCCTTTGATGAATGAAGTTGTAGTAGGATAAAGTGTGCTGTAATTAGTAGAGATGTTTCTATATATAATTATTATTATTATATTCATTGGACATAAGTGAGATATATCTACATGTATATGGCAGGATATCATAGTGCAGTTCTTTGTTGCGGTTTGCTTGCTCGCGTCCACCACCGTGTGTCTGATCCGCGTGTGATGCCCCAGTGAGATATCTCTACATGTATATGGCAGAATATCATAGTGCAGTTCTTTGCTACGGTTTATTTGCTAGCTCGCGTCCACCACCGCGTGTCCAATCCACGTGTGATGCCCTCGGCACAAACCCGCCATGCTTCTTAATTATCATCAAGTTCCTCATCAAGCTAACCAGAGGGAGGAGGATCCTCGAAACATGCTCGATTATAGCCTCATAAATACACTGCCATCTAATTTACACAGTCCAAATGGCATTTACCGATTTACAAATTTTAGAAGTCCTCATGGAAATACTGTTTAAAATATCAAGGGTTTAAGAACCAATGGTTTGTTTGTCGAACAAAATGAGTTTTTATCCAGCTGAGAGCTCTAATATTCACACTTGACCGTAATAATAAGTCCAAGTAGCAATATTGCCTTCTTTAAAATAAGCTTGACCTATAGGAAATGAATTCAAAATGTCAAGGTTTAAGAACCAATGATCTGTTTGTTGAATAAAAGAGTTTTTATCCGGCCAAAAACTCTAATATTCACACTTGACTAAGAGATATGGGATGCTTAAATAGTTAATTTAAAATAAGCTTGACCTAGAGGAAATGAATTCAAAATGTCAAGGGTTTAAGAACAAATGATCTGTTTGTTGAATAAAAAGAGTTTTTATCTAGCTGAAATTCTAATATTCACGCTTGACCAAGAGATATGGTATGCCTAAACAGTTAATTTAGCCCGCTCTTGAGGGGCAGGAATTGATGCATTTGCTTAATTGTTAAATTATATGTATAAATATCAATTAAGTTTTTAAGCCTCTTGAAACTTTCTTACCAAAGTTTGTCCTTAATTATGTTTACTGGCTATTTGGTTAAAATTAATTTTACCATGGAACATAATTTATTAAGTGTGCGTATATAATTCTTCTACTGTGAATAAAGTTTTATGATACACGTGAGTGCCGCACGTGCAGTTGATACTCAAACCTGCTCACTAAATTTGTTTTCCATATCCAAAGAGCCTCTATCCATTAATGCTATGATCAATGGCACTGCATGCATATTTTGTATCCATCTACATATAAATAACTGGTCTGTAGCTCTGTTATATTTTGCTCCAGTTCCGTAAATGTATATTTGATTTTACTCCTTGACTCCAATATGCTGACTGCTCTGTATTTAACTGAATGTTCATGTAGCTCATGGTGATCCTGCTTGTGCAGGAGTACGTCTTCAAGTACAAGGTAACATTAGGCAGGTCAAGAGCATACGGTTCATGTAGCTGCCAAACCTGAAACTTGTCGACAAGAGCACCATGCAAGTGGAGTTTGACAAGAAGGATGATAAGGGGTTTGTGAAGGAAGCACTAGAGAGGTACCCAGACCTAGTGAACATGTGCAAGTGAGTTCATTGAGTTCTTTACCAAAAGTGCCAGATACAATATTTATGTTTCTGTTTATTGGATGGGTTTGGCCTTCACCTGAATATATATGTATGCCTAGAGCAATATTCTTTATTTTCAATTAGGATAGAGGTGATGGTAATTGTTTATTACTTTGGGCCTAGAATAATATTGATTTGAGTTTGTGACGGCTTCTACACATTAGGAAAATTAATATTTTGCCGTTATGCTTCGCTATGCATTAGAAATAATATTCTTTCCATATGACATGACAAGTGATGCTGTAAATTTTTATGAGTTTGTGACTAAGCCAACGGTGATACAAGTTCAAGATTACTTCTATAATCAAGCTTTATGGTTGAGGACTACGATTTTATAGTTATAGTAACTAGATTTAAAAATTTGATTGTTATTCTTCTATTATGGAAGATTTTTCATAGACACGTGCGTGTCGCACGTGCTAGTTTTATGTAATAACCGCGTTGAAGAGTAATAATAACGAGACTCAAACAGGATCTTTTCCTCCCCACGCCTTTCGCTTTGGGCCAAGCATTTGCATAGCCCGCTCCGCAAGTATTCGCGGAATCGCGGTCGCACAGGCTGGTCCAGTCCAACACCGGCCTCCCTGTCTCGATCCTGGCCACAAGCTCTCCCGGGGCTGAGGATGACTCCCCACTCCCCTCTTCCTCCGCATCGGCCGTCAACCAAACCCGCCCTGCTAAATACTCGCTCGCTACAGCTCTCCTCGCAATTACTAAATTAACAGCTCCGTTAGCACGAGCTGCGGGGAGGGAGTTGGGAGGAGAAACAGAGGTACCGGGGCGATGGGAACCGTGCTCGATTCGCACTTCCTGGCGCTCACCGCCATCGTTACTGTGAGTGCCCCATTCCCCTCCTCCCTTCTCCCGGTTCTGCGCAAGGCTTCGAGTTCTGACCCTTTGTTACGTTCTCTGTGGTTCCCGTAGGTGGGGTACCAGCTGCTGTTCTTCATCATCACAGCTCTCCTCCGGTTCGATAAGGTCACGGATTTCGCAGGTAAGAACTAACTCAGCCTGCTCTCCCCTTGTAATTGATACCGGAATGAGTTGCCATGACTGTCCCTTGTACTAGTAGGGCGCAATTGCTAGCAGAACTCCAGTAGTGAATGTGAATTTACTTCATTCCTGTTAATGCTTAGAGGATAATTTCTTAGAGATCCTTGTTAGTTTTTTCCGGAGTTCAGTTTAGTAACGGTTAGCAAGATTGGTTATTGAGTTCTTTGATTCAGTTTGTGTGGCCATTGTTGCTCCAAGACTCCAACAACCCAACATCTCTCCTGAACTGTATTATACTCCGTCCATTCCAAATTACAGTATAAGAAGTTTTGGCTTTTACAGATATACATAGCTTTTGATATGTACTTAGATATTCCCCTTTGGTTGGGCCAGTGGCAATGAACTGGGTACAGGAAAAAATAAAAATAATTACACTCTAGAGTGATAGCATGCAATGATTGATTAAAGTGGTTTGATGGATTCAATATATCCATCTTGGGTAGAATTAGTTTCTTATATAGATAATGTCTAGACACTGTAAAAACAATGTATCTAGAAAAGTCAAAACGTCTTATAATTGAGGATTGGGGGAGTAGTTTTCTCGTTTGTTTTGGGGAATCTTCATGCATGGGCTTGTTTGGTTATTCCCCAGGCAAGGTTGTCTGGTGCAGGGAGCTTCCTGCCTGATTTTGGGCGCCTAGGAACGAGATCGATGCCTGGCAGGCATTGAACCAAACAGCCTCCTTGTCTGTTACTTCCTCTGTCACAGATTATAAGACGTTTTGGCATTTTTAGATTCATAGTTTTTACTATGTATCTAGACATGACATACATCTAGGTGCATAACAAAATCTATGAATCTAGAAAAGCCAAAACGTCTTATAATTTGGAACAGAGGGAGTATAAGATAATTATACACGTGAGCTTACATGCAAACCGCTCCTCATTCTTACAAGGCATCCTTGCCTTCTTAACCAACAATCTGAATGTCTGATAAACTTCGCTATCTGTGCACCAGCCTGTAAAAGTATACATGAGGTCAATGTAGCATACTAGCTTTGCTGTATTTTCTGCCCACAAATATTTATTTTATGCTCCTAATTTCAGGCAGTACAAATTTTGTCATAATCGCCATCCTAACATTAGCTTTGAAGGGAGCATGGCATTTCCGTCAGGTAAGTATTTTTCATGATAAATCTGTTCACTTTAATGTAAGCATAGTCAATGGATGAACTGATGCCCCTGTTGGTTTGGTGGAAAAAAAGGCGGAATTCATCAGAACTACTGCTTTCTTTTCTTTTACGCTGGATTATCAGTTTTTTTTAGTGCAAATACCTGAAAAAAAATTCTATTGCCAACGGCCAACAACTTTGCTACTGGTAGTTGACTTCGTAGATAACATAAAGTGGATTTACATTTTTCATCACATTCCTGTCTAAGTGAAAATGTGAGTTACAGTTGCTGCAGCATGCTGGCAAGCTGTTTGTTGGAAATGTTGAGTTACATAGATCTCTGGATTTACCATGATTCATTGATTTTTAGTCTCAAGATGGCATATACTGTGGTGTTGTAGCAATCTAGCATGATTAAAACTACCTCTGTCACTTACACTAAAGTTCGTCAAATTGTTTTGTCACTTAGACACTGCAAATTTAACAATGTTTGTAAAGCTAGCAGAATAGCTTCATCATTTACCTTAAACTTAGACACTGCAAATTTAACAATGTGGAGCTAGCAAAATTGCTTCATCACATACAATAAAATAGCCACATACAATAAAATAGCAACCATGTTCTGAATCCATTGAGACATTGTTATCTTATTCCATTTTCACAGGAAAGACAATGTAGGTTGTAGGCATCTTTTCGACTTTTCATCCCTGTGAAATTTTTAAAAATGATAGGAAAGAGAAGAGTATAGAGTCTCAAAAATAGCTTTGTTTCTTTTAGAAGGAAATGGAACAAAATGCTAGTACCATTCCTTTGGCATTGCATTTATTTAATTTATTTGTTATATAAACTTTTGTAGGAATAACTCAAGATTATTTTAAAATATGTGCATTTATAAAGGTCGGTCTCTGTTTCAGATTGTGCTGACAGTGCTTGTCACCATTTGGGGTCTTCGCCTAGGACTATTTTTATTGATGAGGTACGCTGTTAGCTTGTCACATGACCTGCTACATGAATAATCGTTAGTTTGACTGAAAACATGTCTATAATGTTCAATAAATTGCTAATTCTTCTCTTACCTATTAATTTCTAGGATTTTGCAATGGGGTGAAGACCGACGGTTTGACAAAATGCGTGATAATTTGGGGAAGTTAGCATTTTTCTGGATTTTCCAGGTACCTTTTGCAACTTGTGTTCTGATATTAAGATCTGACCGTGCCTTTTCTGAAGAAATCCTCAGCAGGCCATCTTTTTCCATTTGGGCAGGCTGTGTGGGTTTGGTCTGTCAGCTTGCCTGTCACTGTTGTGAATGCAAGTGACAGAAACCCCTCGATTGAAGCCAGGGATATAATCGGTTGGATAATATGGTTGGTTGGGATATGTGTAGAAGCAACAGCTGATCAGCAGAAGCTTGTGTTCAAGAATTCTCCAAGTAATAGGGGAAAGTGGTGTCACGTCGGTCTTTGGAAGTATTCTCGCCACCCGAATTACTTTGGGGAGGTTGGTTAATTCAGTTTGTTACTTCGGTCGCTTTTGTACATATGAAGATTTGCCTTTGCATATACTCTCAGTTGCTTATATACTGATATTGGCTAGAATGAGAACTCTCAGTCCTTGAATGGTACCTGCCTGTACTAATTCGTATTGTGATCTCAATGCATATGTTGTTTACATGCTTATGAGCTGTGATTGCAAGTACAGCATGTCCTGCATACAATGTTTATGACGCTGATCTGTATAAGAATTGAATTTGATGTAGATGTTCCTTTGGTGGGGAATATTTGTAGCGTCAACCCCAGTTCTCTCAGATGCTGAATGGCTTGTGATTCTTGGACCTATATTCCTGACTCTTCTGCTTCTTTTCGTTAGTGGAATCCCACTCCTTGAGGTTAGCAACTGCTGGTGCCCTCAAACCCCATAGCTATATTACTTGCAAAGTGCTAACATGCCCTACTTTTCATATTTGTACCGTGAAGTCATCTGCTGATAAGCGCTATGGACGATTGGAGGAATACCGTGTATACAAAAACATTACAAGGTAACATTCCTACACTGGTTATTTCCTGATCTCTCTCCAGAGTCCAACCACTGGTTTTTAGCAGCAGAGAGTAAAGTGCTGATTGTTCTCTGCAGCCCTCTTATCCCATTGCCACCTGCTGTGTATGGTTCCCTGCCTGCATGGTTCAAGGTTGCCTTCCTCCTTGAGCTCCCCCTCTACAATCCTGGGCCAGGAGATGATCCAATCAGTTGAGTGACGCTTGCAAATTGTTCTGCTGGCCTTCAGTGATAAACATGTATAGAATAGCCCTGCAGTATATTTACGTTTTTTGTTTTGTTTTGTTTTGACAGAACTACGGTGAGCCCATTGATGGGTCAGCCTCATATTTATGTTTGTGTACTGGGCAATTGTTTCCCCTTCGATTCCAAGGGTTTACGGTGAGCCCATTGTTGGTTGAAAGTTAGATTTTCTTTTGTTGCACTCCCTGTCTCCATGTGCAGATCAGTAATCAGTTGATCATGCGAACTGAACTTTGAACCGGTACTAGTAACTACTTCTAGGAGTGTCTCAATTTGGTTGTATTCGTTATGCAGCCACGGTATTTTTGTATACATTCTCGGTTAGTACTAGGACTGAACCTTTTAAACTCTTGTCTATGTGTATGTTGGTTGGGCAGGGGTTCAGCCGTTCAGGGAAACAAAAAACAGTAAATTCCGAAGAAAGAAAATAATTAAAAATATATGTTTTTGAGAAGCAGAACTCCCCCAAGACAGTCCAGTTCACGACATACCAGTGTGCAATCTCAAAACGAGCTGGGTTTGCAAGCTCCACAGATCTTTATTCTTTTGGGAAATCTTGCTTGAAAAACGAGAAGAAACTTGTCCCATTGGTCATGGCAGCTATAACAACCGTGGTCACGCTGCCGCCGAACCGTGCAAGAAAAATCAGAACACCACAGAACTGCTGCGATATATATCTACTCACGCCGGCGCGATGGACACCTTGTCGACCTGCACGACGTACTCGAGCGTGGCGCCGGGCGGGATCTGGACGTGTTCTTCTCCGAAGTCGGCGCCGTCGTCGCCGAACGCGAGGCCCGGCGGGACGACCACCCGCCGCTTGCCGCCGGCCCTCATGGAGCTCAGCACGTACTCGATGCCCTCGCACATGCCCCTGGTGTACGGCCGGGAGCCCATCACCAGCGCCAGCGGCCGCTTGCCGTCGCCGAACGTGTCCACGAACGACTCCCCGCCGCTGCCGGCCACCCGGCCCTGCAGGTCGATCACCACCAGGTCGCCCGACCTCGGGACGTCGCCGCCGCCGACGCGCATCTCGTAGTACCGGATGCCGTTGGGCAGGACGACCTCCTGCTCCTGCTCCACGTCCCTGCGTACAAGAGAGACAGAGGAGCATTGCACGCACCAAATGAAGTAATGGCGGTTTTGTAACTGAAAGAATTAACGACCCGCAAGCATGGTGAATGGCACTGACTTGGTGTTGGCCTGCTGCTGCGCGACCTCGAAGCGGGTCTTGAGCTGCTCGGACACGACGCCGACGGCCAGGAAGCCGGCCCACGCCAGCCCCGCGCCGATCCCAAACCGCCGCGTCAGAGACGAGGCCACCCAGTCCGTGGAGTCCGCGCCGCCCGCGCGCTTCGGCCTCGCCGGCGCCAGCGCCTGCTGTGGCTGCGCTTGCACGGACTGCTGCTGTGTCTGTGGTTGCGGCTGCTCGCTAGACGGCGGCTGGTTCTGGGCGCTTGCCGGGCGCGGGGTCTGCGCGCAGGAGACGTGCGGCATGGCGATGGGACGGGCGAGGAGCGCCGGTGAGCTTCCCAGGAACGTGGCCATTGTGGTTCGGTGCGTCGTGGATGAGCTACTACGAGTCCAGAACGACGGAAGTGGATATTTAGGTTGATTTTGTATGTTTCTGAGATATTATTTATTTCGTTCAATTCTCGTGAGCTTTTTGTGAGTGAAATGTGGCCACAGATGTACGAGTGCTTCAAGGCTTATCCGACTGCACTGCACCACACTAGCTATCCACCGACCGTCCCCGCCGACTCTAACCATGCCATTCCTTTTTTCATCGAGAAGAAAAAAGCGGCATAGGTAATATCCACAGAGGGGTATCCACTATCCAGATCACACAGCAAAGAGATTAATACCATGAACAAACAGCCGGTTAAAATGATACTCAAAGAGGGGTATCCACTATCCAGATCACACAGCAAAGAGATTGATACATGAACAAACAGCCTGTCAAAATGACACTCAATTCCAGATTCCTCGTACAAACAGTACCCATCTTCTTACTGTTGCTTGAGTTTACAGTTCGAAAATTGAATGATACCAAGTAGAACCGCTTAAAAAATTGAAATCAAAATATATATCAATCGTGCCGTAAATTTATCCAAGATAAATAAGGTACTTGATAGATTCTATTTATACGAGTAATAAATTACAAAAGAAAATAGCGGTGATTACAGCCCATGCTCAGATAAAACAAGTAATAGTAAGCAAGGTAACAGCTCAGAGAGAGAACAGATTCACAAACTTACCACTTATCCGCACCATACACAACCCCATCCTGTCCAGGCGTATAGATTTTTTTCTCTAAGATTTCAACAATTGACAAGAATCAACACCCACAAGTACAGTTTAACATACTTCACTACTTCAGCAAGATCTCGAAATCGGATTCATATAAACACAAATCAAACTGCAAATAGAAAGATCCCAAGGAACATATCAGTGCAATGAGTAAAATTATTTAATAAATCACATTAACTGCATGGTCGACGAGTAAATTACCACTGCAAGCTGAAAAGGGGTATTATCTGTGTGACGAAAAGTATGCCATCCTTTGCTAAAATTTGGATGGCAGGTGTCTAACTATCAAAATGTACTCCCTACCATCAATTCTTGTGTCTCAACAGTTTCATGACTAGAAGGCATCACCGTGAGCTCCAATGCAACACCACAGATAAGATATTCTTTCATAATGTTGTATTTTATAGTACAAAGCATATGACCAACACACAGATCATCTAATATAAAAGCATAATAAACAGTTTAACCACTATGAATCTTAAACAGAATGTGCTACACTATCTACAAATATCATATTCGGTTATTCTGCATGAACGTCTGTTCAGTTCCATAGAACAGATCACACACATTGATGGTCAATTACTCACTGGCCAAAACACAGCTGTCTCATTTTGAGTTCTGATGAAAATGCACCTTTTTGCTACATGGTTCTACCGTAAGCCAGAATGACCTGCGACTAGTGATTCAACTGCCTTTAGCACCAACAACATTGACACTACTACTTTAGCACCAACAACATCGACACTACTACTAAAGCACCAACAATATCGACACTACTACTTTAGCACCAACAACATTGACACTACTTAAGCTCAGAAGTTTAATGCACATTGCTTAACCATGTTATTCTGAAGACACAATATCCATTTTAAGAAACCCAAACAATAGGGACCCACATGATTCCTAGCAAGATGAAGCTATAAAATCAAACATTAAACCACATAGCAGGGACACAAAAGGTAATAATATGAAATTAAACAGCACCTCTTCGGACTAAAATGAAGATCTGAGACAATATATGCCCTCTGCAAAAAATGATAAAAGAATGACTCTGGAGCAATATGCTACCAAAAATAAAACAGCATTTATAGAACACGTACGAGATACTAAAATCCAGCCATGTCAGATCTTGCAGAATAGCACAAAAATTATGATACGATACACATGTCCACAGCTAAATCACCACCAAAACATACTAAAGTTACGGCAATGAGGCCAGTTTCCAAACAGAAATAAAACCAAATCTAATCATCATAGTTTTTTTTACCTCATAAGTACATATTTCTAACCATCAAAAGTTTTGTACCTCATAAATACTAATCTAGATCCCTCCCTCTATGGTAGAAGTTGAGCTCATGATAGTCCGAAAGATCTTCAGTCCCTTCTGAGGTAGATTGCTTCAATGATTTGCAAAGACTGTATCATTTCGCCTTGGAGGTCTATCAGGAATCGAGCCTGGCTTAAATTTTGATGCCTCATGCCTTGCAAGTTCAGGTGGCACAGGACTGCTGCTCTGTATAAGCATCTGTTTCAGATCAAAGAAAATATCAGTGTTCTCCAGAGTTAAAAATGAAGTTGCCACTCCCTTCTTTCCAGCACGACCAGTCCTTCCAATGCGATGTGTGTATGTGTCGATTGAACTAGGCATCTCATAGTTAATCACGTGTGCAACATCAGGAATATCAATACCACGCCCTGCAACATCAGTAGCCACAAGAACATTGAACCTACGGTTTCTAAATCCATCAAGGCTGATCTCTCTCTGGTCCTGTGACTTCCCACCATGTAGGGTTGTGACGCGGAAGCCTGCCTTGTCCAGATCCTTAGCACGCATGTCCGCTGTCTTCTTAGTATTGCAGAACACAATGGCCGTCTTGTCTCCGAGATCTGTGAGTATCTTCTGGAGCCGTGGCATCTTCTCAGACCCCTTCACCATGATCACATTCTGGGTGATCAGATCAGTGGTCTTGCCAGCTGTACCAATTGTCACAACAACTGGGTTTCGGAGATACTTCCTAGCAAGACGCTCCACAGCAGGAGGCATGGTGGCACTGAACATATAAGTAGTCCTGTAAATCCTCTTCTCATCAAGTTCCTCATCCTCATTTTCAGGTTTCAAGTTACTCGATGGCATCGCGTCAAGGACACCAACAACTTGTGGCTCAAAGCCCATATCAATCATCCTATCAGCCTCATCGAGCACAACATAGTTGCACTGGTTGAGAACAGCATACCTCCTTTCCAAGCAATCAAGAAGCCGACCAGGTGTAGCAATTACAATCTCACAGCCCTGCCTAATCTTGAAACCCTGCTCCTCAATTGACTGACCACCAACAATTGAGACAACTTTAATGCCTAGATAGGTTGCAAATTTCACAGTCTCCTCCTCAATTTGTTGAGCAAGCTCACGAGTAGGTGCCATCACAACGGCATAGGGACCCTCAGCCTCATTCTCCTCACTGATGGGCGGCAATCGGGTAATGTAAGACAACATGGGGAGTACAAAAGCTGCAGTCTTTCCAGAACCTGTCTCAGCAATACCAATAACATCACGCTGCTGTAGACCTAGTGGAATGGCAGCCATCTGGATTGGTGATGGTTTTTCATATCCAACCTTGTCAATAGCGCGAAGCAACTCGGTGCCAAGCTTGCTTTCACTCCACTTCCGCATTGGCCGGGGTATGCGAGAACCCTTATAGGAGATATTGAAATCCTCACGGAAAATACGCCAATCCCGCTCAGTCATCTCCTCAAGTGCCTTCTCAGACCAGTGCCTGTCCACGCGCATATCAAAAGCATCATACATTTCAGCAGCAGCGGCCTTCTTCTTATCTACCGCATCATCCTCCGGACGGTCCTCCACACCAGCCTTGCGCCGCAGCTCTGCACGGGTCTCCTTCTCGTGCGCAGCTGCCGCCTTCTTCTGCTCGCGCCGGTCAATGCCGGCAAGGAAGCCCCGGCCAAAGAGCAGCCGGGCTTCGTGCGGCGACTGGTAGAGCGCGTTCATGTCACGGCTGGTGTCCTCGGTGTTCTCCCAGTCGAAGGAGAAGCGGAACTTCTCCGAGGGCTTGATAACCCGCTTCTTGGGCTTCTTGGACCCGAGGTACTGCTCCTTGATCGCGTCGAGCTCCTTCTCCCGCTCCCCCTCCGCCATCTTCTCCAGCCGGTCCCTCTCCCGGTCCCCGCGATCCCCACGCTCCCTGTTGCGGTCTCGTTCCCGCTCCCGCTCCCTATCACGGTCGCGGTCGCGGTCGCGACGGTCTCGGTCCCTGTCGCGGCGGGAGGAGTCATCTCGGTCGCGGTCCCTATCTCGATCCCGATCTCGGTCGCGGCGGGAGTCGTCGTCGCGGCGGCGTTCCCGGTCTCGGTCTCTGTCTCGGTCCCGGTCCCGGTCGGAGGAGTCGCGATGGGAGTTGGAGGAGTCGCGAGGAGCGGAGTTGGAGCCGGACGGGGGAGCGCCTCTGGGAGGAGGCGGCGGAGGGGGCCGGGGCAGGGACTGGAGGAGGTCGAGCGCGGTGCTGCGCTGGTCGGAGACGGCGGCCTGGCGGCGCTCGAGCGCGAGGCGCTCCCGCTCCGCCTTGGTGAGGAACACAGGCTTCGCCGGCTCAGTCATCGCGTCGGCCGAGCGCTTCATCGCGGCGGCGCGGATGCGGCGAGGGGGAAGGAGGGTTTGCGCTTGTGGGGCGGACAACGGTTTGGGGAAACAGGGCAAGCGTCGCTATTCACCTCTGGCTCTGGAGTTGCCGACTTGCCCCGATTTGGGCCGTGTTTATCCGGGCCGGGAGAAGACATCGTCACCGACGTAGACATGGGCCTAATTTTATCTGGAAACGGAGATGAGCTTGGGTCTGGGCTGGTGGGCGAAGCACTGTCTACGGCCCATATTGTGGGAGGCATAGAGTCTGTTGCTCCAACTGGGCAGCTGGGTGTGCGGCGGCAGCCAACTGTTGCCAGGGCCTTCGGACTTCGGAGCTGATCAAAACGTCGGTTTAGATCAGGTATTTGCACATTGGCAAGACCAGCGTCTGGACGTACAGCCTTGGACGTGCGTCCGGACGCGGCTTCCTCCGCGCCCTCTTAGGTAGGCTGCACCAGCGCAACAGAAGAGCGCCCGCCCGCCGCACCCACGTCGCCACGTGCCTGCGTCCCTGCTCCCAAACCGCGACGTACGCAGCCCCCTCCGCCCGGTGCCCATCCTGCTCCGGAGGCAGCGTCCGTCCGTACGGAGCAGCCTCGCT